CAGTTGTACAATCGTGTATTTATGATAAATGGGTGGGAAGTTTCCAGAATAATTTCTGGTCAAGGGTCAAATTAATAAAATTACAATTAGAAATTTAATGGCCATAATAAACAGGAGGACGGATAAAACTCAAACAAAGTAGCATCATAATTACTGAGAAGATTGACATATTGTGCGATTGGGGGTTAGAAATGTAGAAATAATAAAGTGACAAAATAGACAGGAAGTTCGGAAATGAAAATATGGTAGTGTAAATAGGGATTGAGAAAAACATAAATAACATGAATAAACAGGAAGTTTGGATAAGAAAGGCAATGCGGTAGTCACTATTACAAGAATTGCCTGTTTATGATGGCCATGGCAGGAACAAAGGTTGGACGTATTTCTTTTGGATACATAGCGTGGGTTTCAGTTTTTGAATGGCTAGTGCCTCGGCTATTTTCAGATCTCTTAATTTTACTCCCTTTGATAGGTTTGGTCGAAACTTGCATATAATTTTGAAGGATCTTTCGAATGGCGCTGAATGTCCTGAATTGACCAGATGTTCTGTCACTGAACTATATACACGTTTTCGTTTTCCTTTTACTAGTCAGGCTGAATAGTGTTCACGAGCGAGTTTTTCAAGTTGGCGCATGGTACGGTCGATGTACTCAGCTCCGCACGAGCAAGTAAACTGGATTGGTTTCAGTTAGAAAACCATTGAGAACCAGCCAGTAGTACTGGGCAGCTGTTTCATCCTAGTTTAGGAATCATCGGTAGTACACTTCCACCGCCAGGATTCGAACCCAGGAGCTTCCGGTTACAAGGCGGGCTGACTCGTATGGCATTCAGCCACTGGGACCCGATTCAATGGTTCTCTTACTGATATCAATCCGTGATCAACTAGTGAAAACAAATCTGATCCTTAAAAACCAACTATAGAAAACATACGTATTAGTAAAAGTTGTGAAAAACATAATATGGTTACCATGGAACTGATAAATAAGTTTGTTAAATGTTAAACCATATCCAACCTCCTTGAAATAAAGACTGCTATTGAAAAATACAATAATATAGTGATCAGAGCAAAATTCCAGTAGTCTATCAAAGATACATCTCAACATCGGAATTGAGGAAATTGTGTCCAATTCCCTTTTCGATGGACTTCTATTGTGTCATGTTGACAATGTGTGGAAATAGGAAGCCCCTTGAAACCACTTTTCACTGATTTATTCTTGTCAGGCCAAGAAGCCAGTTTTTTGCAACAACATATACAACAAACGGAGTTATATCTAAGAAAGGTTGATGATATTTTTAATGTCTGTGAAAGCAAATCAAAAGCTGAAGACCTATTAACAAAATTCAGCTTATGCCATCCAAATCTTAGCTTTACAATAGAATATCAGCAAAATGATATCATAGAGGTTTCTCTAATAAAAAGGACTGGTACCGCAGTGCGAAGGTCTATATTTAGAAGGTTTTCATCAGTGCATACATTTCAAAAGTTTTGTTCCATTCCATTATAAAAAGAACATAGTCAATACACTGTTTAACAGAACACAGAGGATTTGTTCTAACAGTACAAATGAACACAAAATAAAGAAAGGAAGACGAAATTTGCAGTATAAAATGATATGAGAGAGCGTGATTAACCTCTCACTCCCTTGGTAACTGAATTTTGATTTTGATTAGTCATCTAATTCAGTGATCTCAACTCACTGTACAAATCTTAATCTCATAAACTGCAACCGCTTTTGGTTTTTGAGTTGCTGTGTGAACAAGCTACAAGCTAACACTGTTCTGTCAATTAATTTTTTCTGTTTTCTGTCTTATCCATCCCTCCTCTCGTCTACTTTGAAAGCGTATACATTGCTGATGAAAACGTAAATTAAAAATTGTAATGCTTTCATTTTAGATGCGTCAGTTTTATAGTATTCCTTCTCTACTACCACTTAAACACTAAAGTATGTTATTGTCATCTATATAACCATTGTAATTTCAGGTAGTCTGCAGCTGATGAGAACCTGTGAAATAGAATGACGATATCATTTTATACTGCAAATTCCGTCTTTCTTTCTCTATCGAAATTTATCAAGAGAACCAAATGTGCAAAATAAAGACTCTGATAAATATTTTTTCTAACAATGGATATCCTGAGAAGTTCATTTATAAATGCTCCAAAGAAATGAACCTTTGTAGAGCTATCCAAACAGCCTCGAAGAAATCTGTTTATATCAATTTAATATTCAAAGGAGATGATGTACAAGAAGTAGTCAAACGAAGAATTGATAAAGATATCAGGAGAACTCATTATGCTGCTAAACTAGTCTTCCTTAACACCACCAAGTAAATGCTTCACCAGTCCACGACACTTCAAACTGTGTATATCAATTCAAATGTGTTTGCGGAAGCACTTAGATAGGTCGTACAGAAAAGCAATTGTCTACTCGCATAATGGAAGTATTTACCAAGGTGCCGAAACGTTCACTAACAAAGCATCTTGTGGATTACATTTATGATATCGACGCGTGGTCAAGTAATTCATTGTTGTCAGCAGACAAAGAAACAGGAAGATACTTGCAATTGAGAAGGAGGCTTGCGCAACTGCAGTTTATAAACCAGGTCTCTGTGTACAGAAGGAAATGGTGGTCACTCTGAATCTACCATGTTTCACTTATTAACTGTTACTATTACCATTATTATTAATATTTTATTCTACCTCTTATTACTGAACTATCTTTTATCAGTACCATTATCTTAAATCGTTTTAACATTATTATTATTACTATCATTACCATCACTATTATTATCATCATCAATATTATTCACTGTGCGATTCTTGATCTATTCCAGTTCTTTCACTTAGTGATAACTAATTATTTATTTGAGTAATGTAATTGAACCGTAATGAATTTTATCTTAGTTTTATATCCGTACATTCAGTGCGTTCAGCTGGAGAGTTCTGCCGAAATCTAATGAATTCACCAAATCCATGTTAAATATCTGTGGTTGCTTGTTTTAAAGAAACATAAAATGGGCAAATATATGAAAAATCTTTTGGAGGATTCAGGGGAGATACAAGTGAGGGGTAAATATGTTGTATATTGCATTGAGGTAGCAAAACTTCTGAGTAGAATCAAGAGACACTACTGTCCATCCATCTGCGTGGATTGTGCTCTCGTAATATAAAAGGTCGGGTAATAAATAATGGCTTCACAAAGCGCACACTTTCATTCCCGAGCACTTCGTGTGACTCAGAAAATTATAATCAAAATTATAATCCCCTAGAGTAGTCTCTTAAGATTACCTGTAAAGTGATACCGAATGGTACAAAGGGTGCTAGATTTCAGCCTTTGTGTATGACATAGGCACTGGTGAATTGTCAATACAACCCCGAACTCTGTATACAGAAAAAGTTTGTCCAGTCTCTTATTCTACCATGGTCTTAATTTCTTCATTATTCTTTCCAGGTAATTTTGAATTTCCATTAGTTTGTCTGTTTTAAAAAAAAAAGTAATTAATTCACTGTTGTCACTCTCACATGTTCCTTTTTGTACGTTTCGTCATACTCTTCACACTTGTTAAATTGACACTCAACTACCTTTATTCTCACTCAATAGCAACTATAAACTTATAGAATTTCAAAACCATTTCTTCTTTTGTGCCGTTGAGTATTACGTGACTTAGTGATTTTATTTCAGAAGTTACTTCTGAGTAATTATGCCAATTACGTCATCCCCCTATTACTCAATAATGGACTACTATGCCTTTTTGGTAAATATAAATACGACTGCTCAGCCTCTGAATATGATTTCGTCGATAAAGCGAGATATTTTGTTCTCTCAATTGTCTTTTATTTTCTTCATGACTCAACAGTGGATATCTTTGGTGTTTTCAATAAATAATGTAGTAATCATGAGAGCTTTAACTGGTCAGTTTACAATTTCTTACGTGCGTCGTTATTATCTGAAAAAATGATATCATACTCTTAATTCATTTAGCCAATATCATGTGAAAATGCTTGAAATAGTCAGGAAATCACTTTTTAGACAGACTTTCTCAGGATCTGAAATCAACTAGTTCAACATAAAACCTAAGAACTACTGAACACTTGTTTTCTTCAGGCTCGGGACGCTATAAAATAGGCAATCTTGAAAAGCAAGCTATTGCTCAGGCACCGAACTGGAATCCAAGGTCCTATGGTTTAGGAGTTTCTAGTACTTCATTATCTCAAGTTCACTGATGTGTGTCTATTTCTTTATCTAGACTAGTGGTCTTTAGCGACTGCTAATTATTAGTAGAACTTCAGTGGTTCGTCAGAAAGTGAAGCCATAGCAAAACAAATGAAAAGGACAACTCCGATCAAGCTCTTATGTCAGTATGTGCATAAAACATGACTTCACGGAGAACAAAGAATCTTGTCTGTACCAACATGCATCTTGAAAGAAGCGCCTTCGGTGATGGCATGGAAACACCAACCTCGGCATCTTTACTTATCAGTTCATTACATATGCAATCCACCGTTTCCATCAAAAATGATACATCCAGGGACACCATGAGCTTATCGTTCACCTTTAAGTCTTTAACTTTCTGCACAAGGTCAAAACTGTATTTCACACTGTGTTCTACGAGTTTCTTGTGTAATGGTTATAAGAAATATTCTACCGGCTATTGTGAAGTTAGCTGCCTGGTATGGTGAACAAGACTCAGTAATGACTGGTATAACTGGCAAGCCACTGTTATTAATCATAGCAAAACCGCATAACCTGGGCATCACTGCACTAATATATGCTTTGGCATTTTTTATACTAACTTTCTTAAAGTTCTCTTATCACGTAATTTGTCACCCACAAGCCTCAGTGTATACTAATGCAGAATTGACCTCTCGGATGAGATGCGAAACACTCCGATTTCTTTCTAAAATAAACCTACTGACCCTTTTCATTTTGTGCTAATGGTTTTGTACTAGATAATTTTGAGAAATAAATGCATTGGAAAGATATGAGGAGAAGGCGGGAACAACCGTCTTCCCTTAATTAGTGCATTTATTTTTGTGAAACTGTTTTATTAGAGAACAAAAGGCTTACAACACAAGTTTATGAACAACAAAAGATGCAAAATGATATTCACAATTTCAGGTCAACAGGTTAGTTCTTCTTGCTTGACTTTTCAGGCTTTTTATTATCCTTAGCTGACTCCCGTTTCAGTAATTCTTCTTTACATGAACTGTAGTAAAGGGAATATTTCAAGAAATGGTATTATTAACTATAACCATAGTAACAATAATGATAATAATGGCCTTAACTGTGGATAAATTGGTTAAACCATATACAGAATTTTCAGCATAAATTTTTCTAATTTTTTTGCGTTCCGAGTGGGACATATGGCTTCAAGATTTAAGCTACACAGTTTCATTAGTTGTGGTGTTTATGTTTCAAGGATTGCGGTTGTTAGCTTCACGTCCATCATTCCATCTTCAAAGGGATTACAACCTACTAAGCAAGGTTTATGAGTTTGTCGGTGGGGAATCGAACCCTCGGACCACGAGAATCGTGCATATAGGTTATTCTGTCACTGAATCACTGATGTAGCCAGCACAATATATACCACATAATATTTTCTCTGCATCCAGGATCTTCAAGTATATCAATGTGACTCAGTACTGTTTTCATTTCGTCTCGTTGGAGAAATGTCCACTATCGAAGAATTTGAAACGAAAGTAATGTCCAGTGAATGAAAAAGATTAAGTATTCTTCTCATTGGCTGAAGATGCAGCATAGGCAGGATTTTAAGTTAACATAAGGAAGAGATCGGTGATGAAAATAACCAACGACCACGAACAACAACAACAACAACAAGAAGCATCAGTTGATACCAGCGGGACAGATCTGAAAGAGATTAGTACTTCCGATTATGTAGAAGGCATCGCTTCAATACAGGCACTCGGCATACATAGTGATGTCAAAACGAGAATCGGAAAGACAAGGAAGACAGCAAATCCTGAACAGTATTTCTAACAGACCACTGCGGAATTTTATCAACAACTGCCGCCTTCGCTGGTTGCATGCTGAGAATCAGATGGACAGTCAGGAAGAACAAGCAACAAGAAGCTCTGGGAACATATCGATCAGGATCCTATTGACTGACAAATATTTCAAAGTAAGTAGAGTCAGTAAGTGGCACACTTTGGAGAGACTCTCCGGTGACGCTTCCTCCACTTGAGGGGAACCCGAATAGGCGACGACGATTTGGATGTGGGTCTTATTGCGATGTGTAGGAGATCCTTTGAGAAAGATACGGAAGTCCATGAGCGATCATCGGTCCAGCTAAATAGGTTTCCAGAGGACAGGATGCAAGAAGGAGATGTTCTCTTGAAGCCCTGTGTCACACTCGGAACCAAAAGAAATTATAATAATAATATTAATAATAGTAATTTTATAACTGAATAACTTACACAATCATAGTTCTGATTCCCTTTTTCTCTTTCTTTTCTTTCTCATTTGCTCTACTGAAATCTATTTTTGTTGTGCAAATTGCATCTTTTATTTTTAGTGTTAAATTTGTATTTAAACTGTAATTCATTTCAGAGACCAGTAACCACATATGCCCTAAAGGATTTTAGAAATAGTGGATACATTACATAGGTGTGTGAGTATATAAGTGGGTAAGCAATTAGTGATAAATATATATTAAACGACTTCTCTGTCTATCTAAGAATGTGCAAGAGACTATTGTAACAAAAAGAAAAATATCTAGGTTTCCATTGTGTTGCTTTGTAGGAATTTGATCGGTTCCAAGTTTGGTTCCACTACAAACCTGTATCCAACTAGAGAACCGTTGAAAATTAGTGGGAGTACTGAGCAGTTGTTTTGCTCTAGTTTGGAGCTGTTTGGCAGTATGCAGCATTAGCAATGACCTTACCAGTTTGTAGCAAGAAATCTCACTTAAAAATAGTCGAATTCCTACAAATCAAACTTAATCGACTGCTCGTCAGTAAGACGAAGTAGCCTCCGGTTCTATTGAGATATCGTGGCCGGTGATGTCGATCGAGCCGAATGTGAGTACAGATATTCTCGGCTGACACTGGAAAGATGTGGCATTGTATGCTGCGAATTCATGAGTCATCGGACTCTATCCTGTTGAATGAATGTTCAATAGGCTCGCTACGTCATATAAAGACCGTGGGTTCAATTCCCGGCGGGGTCGTCGGTGCATACTCCTGGACAGTATGAAACTAAAATTAAAAACAACTATCCGGTATTCCCTGGTTTTCAGTAGTTCCTTGACGAACGTCGATTCGTGAGAAAAGTTTAACTTAAAATACCTATATATTTACTGATACTAGAGTAGTCTGACTTGTCAGAGGTAAGTAATATATCGTATGAGGTAACTAGTTTCTAATATTATCAATAGAATATACAAAATTAAAATCTATTACTAACTACAAAAAATATACATTTAGAGTTCTAAAGGTTATGTGTCAAAGTTGCAATTGTTCAAGGTGTGTCATTAACAGGTGGCTACAACAACCTATCTCTGTCGTATAACAGTAACAATGATTTGCTGTGAATAGAGAGGGTGTTGAGAGTCAGAGAATATGGATTTAGAATATTCCTCAAATGAGTCTAAGTGTCTATCGACCATAGCAGCAATGAACTGGCTGACTCTGCGGCACACCACTCATCCTGCTGACAAGCTTTAATAGTCTTCCCGGTATGAGACTGTCCGTTTTGATTAGCCCAGGATAGCCAAATGGTGGGCGGGGGAAATAGAAAAAATAGGCAACATGCGACAGTTAATATATTGTAAAAGTAGAGTTTGAGTGATACCTAATTGATTGCCTTAACTTTTTAATGTCGAAGGTAAGACGTGACACAGCATGTGGAATGACCGATCAGAAAAAGTCATAGGATAGAACTATTCCAAAGTATTTAATGCTTGTCTTTTATATTACAAGTATCTTACGAACAAACCATCCAGTGTAGAGTTATAGCTTGATTTCATACAGTATTTTGGTACAGCTGTGGAATTTTCAGCATGTGATATCGGTAGCCTAGGCAGACCATCGATATCAGGTGTGTGTCAGCCCGGGGGTTGAACCCTGGACCATGTGCATAGTCGGCAAGCGCCCTAGCCGCTGTGCAAGCGACACAGATCATGTTTACACCTGAAGGTTAAGTTAACTATCTGATATTTAGCGGAATTTAAGGTAAGACCATTTAACTAGGACCACTAGCCTACGTTCATGATAAGGACTAATATTCTGAATACTCACTCAGTAGCACCTTCACTCTGAAAGAAAAAAATCATTCCTCTGTGAATTACCTATTTGTGTGTACCGGTCAAGAGGGATAACAATGTTTAGCAACTACAGTAGCTTAAAATATGGACAATATGAGACACACAAAAAAAACACGATGATCGCACTTCATTGCAACATCAGGTAATCACTTAGAACTCACCTTTTTCATTTATGATGAATGGAATTTTACTGGTGGTTAACTTGGCAGATATTACCAGAGCAGTGGCTGCTAAGCATACCAAAGTGAAACGAATCATTCTATTTTTTTGTTTTTAACTAAGAGGAACATAAGAAAACACAAGAAGAAGAAGATAATTAGAGCGCCAAAATAGAAAAACAAACGATTTACTCAAAATTTCACAGCTTGTTTATGTAACTTACATTTCTTGTGGAGTGTAAGAATCTACTTACTACCTCCTGTATTTATAGTTGGAAGTTGTTATTTTCTGACAAACATAATATCACTATAAGGTTAAGACGTCAATAACTTTTGACAGACGTACTAAATAGAAAGGAATATGACAAATTTGGGTTACATTGAAAATAGAAATCGTTTTATGCATTAAATGTCATTTGAAAAGACAGTGAAATTAATACATATATGTAATGATTAGGAATTACAGAGGAAGACCTAACTAGATAGCTAATGAATGACTACCTGGTTTCAACATAGAAACATGCGCAAATGTGTACTAGTTCGAGATGTCATATTTCATGTAGCACACAAAGGAAGACAAGTGAGAGTGAAGAAAGAATAGTCAAATGGAGAAAGAATATAGTTTTTTGAGATATGGCAGATAACAGTGAGTGAATGCATCTGAGCCAGTGACAGAGAGTTCGAGCCATATCACTAGTTTTCTCCAGTCACTGGTACTTACCATCCCGAGGACTCCGACTAGTCAGGCACTCTATACCTACCTACGTGGCTAGTCCAGATTGAATGCTAAAGGTTTCATAATGTGATTACATTTTATCGTGTGACCACCACTAATACTTTTTCGACCTAACACATGTTCCAACCATATCAATCAATGTACTTTACAACTTCATCTATTTATTTCCCCTCCTTACCTAACACTGGATGTCTAACCTCAGTATTTCTTTTATTCCTTCACGTTTCCAGTGGAACATAGGTCTTCAGGCTAGAGGCTTGAAGTTTCCGTAGCAGAGTGTATTTTCACAGGATGGGGTTGATGGCTTCATGCCTAACCTTTCCTCTTCACCAGTCTTATCACTGGCTTAGCGAGGTATGGGAGTACGTCGGCAGGAGATCGAACCTCGGACCATGTGCTTGCTCGGCGAGCGTCCTAACCGCTATGCCACCGACGCACAACCTCGGTATTACTCATCCTTAACTCAGTATTACTCGCCTAACATCGGAGACTGAACGGAGACACCTATGATCAAAGACAGCTTATCAGTCTTCTCAAGTTTCCAACTATCAATAGCTGTGACTCAGTCGCAGCCATAAAGGCGGATTTCGTGTACTTTTAGGAGTGTATGGACGTTTGTTCCTCCCCGAAAGCCCATAAGGTGGAGTTTTATTTTTATTGAGGTGCCCGAAACAGAAAGAGAATTAGTATTTTGTGGCCACAGAGCCAAGTGTGGACAACTGCTTGAGGCCACTCAAACAAGGCTCGTTTAAAATGCCTTTTACAGGTTTTCCTATATAAGTAACTAACCTCGAGAAATACAATCTTTTCTAACCACTCACCTCTTTAGAGTGGAGAGGCAGCATAGCTAGCATGTTGGTCATCTGAGGGATACACCTCACGACCGCTACGTCTCTGTTCCTCAGCAGTAGGACTTTGTTGCCCAGAGACCTCCAACATACTGTAAAATAAATCTTACACTATGTCTGTGACCACTTTTAGTCTACGTGCCATCCTAACAACCTTTTCGGTATGGTAAGGAGTTTTAGAACATTACTTCCAGTCAGTGTAGCTTGTCGACTCATTACGGTTTGCAAGCCCGATCACCTTTAAAGGTATCATCTGCTGCTCAGGCACACAGGTAATGTGATCATAACAGTAACAAATCATTAATTCACATAACATCTGGGAACAATGTTTTGATACTATTATTGTTCCCTTTGGTTCCTAGAGTGACATAGAGCTTCAACAGCATTTCTCCACTTTATTCTATTTTCGGCCATCCTCTTCAACTGGTTAACCCCACGATTACCCATAATCCCTAGTCTCTTGCAATTCACAAGTTTTCCTTAATGTCACCCTCACACCGACGACCCAATTGTCACTTCCTACTGGGATTCCACTAGAGCGATAGCTTGCATTGCGCGCGATGTCATTCGATGGACTACTCAATGTGTGCCCAATCAATCCCTCTCCATTTTCTCTTACATAAATGTTGAGCTCTCGTCTGTTGGTTTGTTCTCACAATTTCTTGTTACTTATTATTTATGGCCCGCCATTTGGTCTTCAGTATGAAGCTCGCTAGCGAAGGCGGCAGCTGTTAATGTAAGTCTGTAATAGACTGTTGGAAATTCTTTTCGTTACACGCCAAGTTTTTGATCCGTATAGAAACGGCAGACTTGACAATGGTGTTGAAAATGCGAATTTCGTTCCGTATGCTGGAAACTACCAGTGTGTATTATAGTTGGGTCTCTCGTAGCTAAGCTGATGCACCACCGAGCTAGCAATTCAAAGGCCTTTAGTCCAAAACCAGTCGGGATGTTTATTTTTTTTCCGCATTTAATATCTACCTACTGCATATATAAATTCGAAAACTGAAGACTATTAGAAAGCCATTCCAACTCATAAGATGAGATTGTAATTCATTCACTGCAAAAATCATTAGACGAATGCGGGAATCTGTAAACAGGCAAAATTACAGGCAGGCAGCTCCATACTCAAAGAAACTACTTAATAAATCATTGAGCTGTTAATATTTCGTCAAACTATATCACGCAGTCAGTTATAATTAAAGTTTTCAGTCTACTAGAAGAATCAAACAGTTATTCTTCAATGTTCTGTTCAAAGAATTCTGTTGACTTAGGCTAAACTGAACAAAATATCTTCTGAAACGTTTGTAAAAGATACCTCATTTCTTTGTACTCTAATAATATCAGCATCGATGGGTTAAATTGGAAGAGATCACTGCCTTGATTTATCTGGGAAGCATCGTTTCAAATACAGATAAGGATGTCAAAACTCACCATCGGAAGAACAAGACATACCTTCATCACTCTGAAATCAATTTGGAAAATCTTCTGTACTTTGCCTCAGTATAAACAAGGACATTCGTATTTTTCAACGTCACTGAGGAGTTTTATCTGCAGCTG